ACTAGTGGGTGGGAGAGTGGGATAACTAGTTTGAATATTTATGTTTATCCAGCCAATCCCTGGTGAGGTGTGCCCAGTAGGTGGCTGAAGAGCCCATAAATAGTCCAAGCCCTGAAGAAGCAAGAGAGAGTTCCAGGGTCCTCTCCTGCCGGAGGAGACCCCTGCGGCAGGATTATTGGATGTGCCATTTAGAAGACATTGAGGTATCATCTGGGAGGCATGTTTGCAAAGTCTGGTCCTGGAGTTGGATTGGGTCTGGAGAAGCTCACTAAAGAGCACCATGAAGAAGTTGGGGGAAGAGTTTCCAGGTGTCCTATGTGAGTCTGTGTCTCCATCACTGAAGAGTGAATGGTGGATTTTGGAAGGAGGCATCCGGAGATTTTATGGCATTGTGAGTAAATGACCTAAGTGCTGGGCCTTAGTGACTGTGTGTAGCTCTTAGTTCTTGGAAACAAGACATAGTCACCTGTTAACAGCCGAGTGTCATGTGGGACTTTTTGTGCGAGAGAGAGAGAGAGAGAGAGAAAGGGAGTCCTTATCAGGGGCGGACTGACAACTCAGGGGGCCCCCGGGCAATAGGGGATCATGGGGCCCCTGTGTCCTTGCCCAAACTCCAAAAAGCCTATGAAAAATGTACCAGGGGCATCTCATGGGGCCCCTTACTGACCCCGGGCCCTCGGGTAGTGCCCGAGTTTCCAAATGGTCAGTCCGCCCCTGGTCCCTACTAAAGCCTTAGATGATGTACTACATAAAGGATGCAACAAAATCAAGCAATTACCAAATACATCAAGCCTCAAAACTGCATATGCCTGTGACATGGCAACAACCTATGATACCTAAAATTGTTTATTACATATTTTTGATGAGTTTTCTATTAATTTCAAAGGGTATTTGGTGCGGTTTTAAAAAGAGCACAAAAGATGCTGCATGCAGGACATTTCAAAATGCACCGCACCGTGATGTGAGGTGCCCCATAGGAATTATAGGGAAACATTTTTCTTGCTTTTTTTTAGTAAGGTTAAAATACATCAAAAATGCATCAGTGTTAAAGGGTCGTATGAACCTTCATCAATCATCAACTTGGAGTAAACCATTAAATTGGTTGCATGCATCTTCCCCCACAGCCCCCCCTAAATGCATACCTGAGCCCAATCTCGATCCAGTCATATGCATAAGCTGGATATTGCCTATATCTTAATTATGATAGATAGATAGATAGATAAATAGATAGATAGATAAATAGATAGATAGATAGATAGATAGATAGATAGATAGATAGATAGATAGATAATAGATAGAAAATAGATAGATAGATAGATAGATAGATAGATAGATAATAGATAGATAGATAGATAGATAGATAGATAGATAGATAATATTAGATAGATAGATAATAGATAGATAGATAGATAGATAGATAGATAGATAGATAGATAGATAGATAATAGATAGATAGATAATAGATAGATAGATAGATAGATAGATAGATAGATAGATAGATAGATAATAGATAGATAGATAGATAGATAGATAGATAGATAGATAGATAGACTGGTAGATAGAGGGGGGAGAGATAGAGAGAGAGAGAGAGAGAGAGAGAGAGAGAGAGAGAGAGAGAGAGAGAGAGAGAGAGAGAGAGAGAGAGAGAGAGAGAGGAGAGAGAGAGAGAGAGAGAGAGAGCGAGAATAGATAGATAGATAGATAGATAGACAGACGGACGGACGGACAGATAGTTAGGTAGATAGATAGATAGATAGATAATAGATAGATAGATAGATAGATAGATAGATAGATAATAGATAGATAGATAGATAGATAATAGATAGATAATAAATAGATAGATAGATAGATAGATAGATAGATAGATAGATAGATAGATAGATAGATAGATAGATAGATAGATAGATAGATAGATAATAGATAGATAGATAGATAGATAGATAGATAGATAATAGATAGATAGATAGATAGATAGATAGATAGATAGATAATAGATAGATAGATAGATAGATAGATAATAGATAGATAGATACGTAGATAGATAGATAGATAGATAGATAGATAGATAGATAGATAATAATAGATAGATAGATGATAGATAGATAGATAGATAGATAGATAGATAGATAGATAGATAATACATAGATAGATAGATGATAGATAGATAGATAGATAGATAGATAGATAGGTAGATAGATAGATAGATAGATAATACATAGATAGATAGATGATAGATAGATAGATAGATAGATAGATAGATAGATAGATAGATAATAGATAGATAGATAGATAGATAGATAGATAGATAGATAATAGATAGATAATAAATAGATAGATAGATAGATAAGTAGATAGATAATAGATAGATAGATAGATAGATAGATAGATAATAGATAGATAGATAGATAGATAGATAGATAGATAGATAGATAGATAATAGATAGATAGATAGATAGATAATAGATAGATAGATAGATAGATAGATAGATAGATAGATAATAGATAGATAGATACGTAGATAGATAGATGATAGATAGATAGATAGGTAGATAGATAGATAGATAGATAATACATAGATAGATAGATGATAGATAGATAGATAGATAGATAGATAGATAGATAGATAGATAATAGATAGATAGATAGATAGATAATAGATAGATAGATAATAGATAGATAGATAGATAGATAGATAGATAGATAGATAATAGATAGATAGATACGTAGATAGATAGATAGATAGATAGATAGATAGATAGGTAGATAGATAGATAGATAGATAATACATAGATAGATAGATGATAGATAGATAGATAGATAGATAGATAGATAATAGATAGATAGATAGATAGATAATAGATAGATAGATAGATAGATAGATAGATAGATAGATAGAGATAGATTGATAGACAAACAGATGGACAGATAGATAGATAGTTAGTTAGGTAGATAGATAGACGGACGGACAGACAGACAGACAGACAGACATCTATCATAATTACAAATAGTAATTGTTTTAGCATACAATAGGAATATACAGTGAGATGTCAATTTTTACTTATTTTTTTTACTGAACTTTGTGTTACTTATAAGGCCTTTTCATTAGAAGCAGTTTTCTCTTTTTATCCTCATCTGTAGCTTTTAGAATTTGCATTTGTGCATTTGTGCCATGTTTTTCTCATTTCTCCATATTTATAAAGCAGTAAATAATATATGTGGATTAAAAAACTGTCTTACATTAATCTGCCTTGATTAGTTGGCTTTAATACTAACTAGGGAAACACAAGAGAGAGCTGACCTCTTTCAGGCACTGCAAGATTGAGAGATAATTATTTTCGCACTTTCTTTTTTTTTAATTGAACTTTACAAAAAAAAATTCAAATACAATTGCAATTTCAATTTATAGACCGGCCTTGCAGATTTCTTTTTTTTTTTATCCTTTTTCAGCTTCATGGGTTCACATTGTAGACTGGATGGTGAAAAAGGTTAAGGATGTCTTGTAAAATGAACCATTTCAAAGGAAAGTGCAAACATACTGTATATACTGTACTTTGGTACATTTAGAAAAATATTGTTCATTTATTACCAACTGCTAGATGATACATTTGTCTATTCTGATCATTTATCATATGTAACAATATAGAAAATGTATAAAAAATTGCTTGAATTTTTAACCACTTCCCGTTTGGCTCATTTACATAAACAGCCGGACCGGAGCAGTGCAGGAGCAGGTTGCCGTTTATAAACATCCTCCTGCATTTCCTGCCTGTGCGCGCTCTCTGGGATCCGGTGCCCGCTGTGTGCTCCAGACACAGCAGAACACCAATCACTGTAGGGGACCCCTGTGTGAGGTCACGATCATGTGATCACTGATTGGCCAATCAGTGATCACATGAATAGTAGTAAGCAAGATATCACTTCCTGACATCATTGCTTACTACTTGTGAAATCTGTGAATGATCACAGAGATTGCATGATACAGGGCTAATCACAACAGCCTTGTACCATGTGACAAGCTGTGACCAATCACAACTCTCACAGTATTTCTCAATGGCTGCAAGAATGCAGCCAGAGAGAAGGAGTAAATATTGTTTTTACAGCCTTTATGGGTGTAAAAGCAATCAGTGTAAAAAAAAATCTTCATCATCCCCCACAAAGTAGTATTCATATCACTATAGTGACACTGTACTGCTAGGGTGACAGTATGTTAAAAAAGCAAAAATAATAATATATAAAAAAAATAATAAAATAAAAATGTAAAACATTTTTGAAAAATTTAAATTTTTGAATTATAAACTAATTTGGGTAATTTTTTTTTTTTTACTAAAAAGATAGATGAATACATTTTGGCCAAGATTTATGAAGAAAGATGATTTATTAGCAAAATTTTATAAGAAAAACGTTTTTTTCAAAATGTTTGGACTTTATCATTTATATAGCAAAAAAAAAAAAAAAAACCGCAGTGGTGAATAAATACCACCAAAATAAAGATTTATCTGTCTCAAAAAAATTAAAAAAAATTCATATGGGTACAGTGTTGCATGACCGCGCAATTGTCATTCAAAGTGTGATAGAGCTGAAAGCTGAAAATTGGCCTGGACTGGAAGGGGCGAAAGTGTCCGGACAGGAAGGGGGTGAAAATGTCCCGGACAGGAAGGGGGTGAAAGTGTCCGGACTGGAAGGGGTGAAAGTGTCCGGATTGGAAGGGGGGAAAGCGTCCGGACTGGAAAGGGGTGAAAGCATCCGGACTGGAAGGGGGAGAAAGTGTCCGGACTGGAAGGGGGTGAAAGTGTCCGGACTGGAAGGGGGTGAAAGTGACGGACTGGAAGGGGGTGAAAGTGTCCGGACTGGAAGGGGGGAAGGGGGACTGGAAAGTGTTCGGACTGGAAGGGGGTGAAAATGTCCGGACTGGGAGGGGGGGAAAGCTTCCGGACTGGAAGGGGGGGAAAAGCTTCCGGACTGGAAGGGGGTGAGAGTGTCCGGACTGGAAGGGGGTGAAAGCTTCCGGACTGGAAGGGGGGAAAGCTTCCGGACTGGAAGGGGGGGAAAGCTTCCGGACTGGAAGGGGGGGAAAGTGTCCGGACTGGAAGGGGGTGAAAGTGTCCGGACTGGAAGGGGGTGAGAGTATCTGGACTGGAAGGGGGTAAATGTGTCCGGACTAGAAGGGGGGGAAACTGTCCAGACTGGAAGGGGGTGAAAATGTCCGGACTGGAAGGGGGGGAAAGTGTCCGGACAGGAAGGGGGGGAAAGTGTCCGGACTGGAAGGGGGGAGAAAGTGTTCGGACTGGAAGGGGGTGAAAGTGTCCGGACTGGAAGGGGGGGAAAGCTTCCGGACTGGAAAGGGGGGGAAAAGCTTCCGGACTGGAAGGTGGTGAGAGTGTCCGGACTGGAAGGGGGTGAAAGCTTCCGGACTGGAAGGGGGGGAAAGCTTCCGGACTGGAGGGGGGGGGGAAAAGCTTCCGGACTGGAAAGGGACTGAGAGGTCCGGACTGGGGGGTGAGAGTGTCCGGACTGGAAGGGGGTGAAAGCTTCCGGACTGGAAGGGGGGGAAAGCTTCCGGACTGGAAGGGGGGGAAAGCTTCCGGACTGGAAGGGGGTGAAAGTGTCCGGACTGGAAGGGGGTGAGAGTGTCCGGACTGGAAGGGGGTGAGAGTGTCTGGACTGGAAGGGGGGTAAATGTGTCCGGACTAGAAGGGGGGGAAACTGTCCAGACTGGAAGGGGGTGAAAATGTCCGGACTGGAAGGGGGGGAAAGTGTCCGGACAGGAAGGGGGGGGAAAGTGTCCGGACTGGAAGGGGGAGAAAGTGTTCCGGACTGGAAGGGGGTGAAAGTGTCCGGACTGGAAGGGGAGGAAAGCTTCCGGACTGGAAGGGGGGAAAAGCTTCCGGACTGGAAGGGGGTGAGAGTGTCCGGACTGGAAGGGGGGTGAAAGCTTCCGGACTGGAAGGGGGGGAAAGCTTCCGGACTGGAAGGGGGGAAAGCTTCCGGACTGGAAAGTGTCCGGACTGGAAGGGGGTGAGAGTGTCCGGACTGGAAGGGGGTGAGAGTGTCTGGACTGGAAGGGGGTAAATGAGTCCGGACTAGAAGGGGGGGAAACTGTCCAGACTGGAAGGGGGTGAAAATGTCCGGACTGGAAGGGGGGGGAAAGTGTCCGGACAGGAAGGGGGGGAAAGTGTCCGGACTGAAGGGGGGGACAGGAAGGGGGGGAAAGTGTCTGGACTGGAAGGGGGGGAAAGTGTCCGGACTGGAAGGGGGGGGAAGTGTCCGGACTGGAAGGGGGGGAAAGTGTCCGGACTGGAAGTGGTTAAAAACACAGCCAAACCAGGAACCACAAAAAACATTGTACTGTGGTATAAAAGACATCAGCAACCTAGTATAAACAAAGTAAATGACTAAAATCTCAGTTATATTTGCTGCGGTTACTCGCAAGTATTATTGTCTCAATGGGTAAATGAGGTCATATATAATCATGACATTAAACCAATTTTTTGGGGTATATGTAGGATCTGGTAAATTGGGCATGTAAAAGCTATATATTGAATTAACCACTGGAGGGGGGACAACAGTGCTGGATGAAGGAGGGCCAACAGCCGTGAAACGGGTAGACCTGTTGGAATAAGGGGGGGGGAAAGTGCCGGACTGAAAAGCGAAGAAAGTGTCCTGGAATGGTTAAAAAACACAGCCAAACCAGGAACCACAAAAAACATTGTACTGTGGTATAAAAAGACATCAGCAACCTAGTATAAACAAAGTAAATGACTAAAATCTCAGTTATATTTGCTGCGGTTACTCGCAAGTATTATTGTCTCAATGGGTAGGTCATAATATAATCATGACATTAAACCAATTTTTTTGCTGGTATATGTAGGATCTTGTAAATTGGGCATGTAAAAGCTATATATTGAATTAACCAGAGGACAACAGCATGAAGACACTAATAAGAGCTAAAGAAACAGCCAACAGCCGTGAAACGCGTAGACCTGTTTGGAATAATAACTATATCACAAGAAAGCTGGTGAAAAGTTTTATTTTCATACATACATATGAAATGCAGATATACAATTTAGATTGTAGACTCCATGAGCAGGGCCCTCCTAATCCTTCTGCATTGAACTGTATTGTAAGTGGACTGTCTCCCTTTATATTGAAATCGCTGCGCAAACTGAATAGTAATAAAAATAAGGATCATCCAATGCCTTTTAATTATGAGGGATAATCTTGATGTATACACTCAATGTATGTGAAAAATACAATAAAATTTAGATTTGAATCATTTGTGTGTGCTTACTTTTTGTATACTAGGTTGTGGACACCCATCATATTAAAGTCTCATGTTTTTGGTGGTTATTGGTTAGTCTTGATTGTGGGGATGAGGACTTCCAAAACCTGATTGGTAACACTGTTAGCCCTGGAATAAAAGGTCTTCACCTCTAATTGCAGTAGAACTAAGCGATTTTATTAAAACCCAAATAGGGCCACTCACATGGCTCATCTGCATGATTGCTGCAATGAAGGTAGTAATCTCCAGCAAGTCTACCAAAGAAGTGGCTCACAGGAGAAAAAGCTAGTTTTTTCCTATATAGAACCAAGGTGGAATCAGTGTGAGCGGGATGACGTCACCAAGCAAAAGGAGGCAACATATTTCAGAGCATTCTCATTACCATGTGTGGGCATGTGCTCTATTTTCTCAAGAGGCTTTTCCTCTTGTGACCCGCTGCTTTGGGATCCTTAGGGCAGACCTGGCAGAGATTTTAACATGGGAGTGGCCCTAGCTGGGTTATAACAAAACAATTGTCTAAGAGGGGAACAACCTCGTTTTGGAGAGATTTGCTCTAATTTCTTGCTGTACCTATAAGAAGGGGATTGAAAAGAAATCACTTGAACAGGATATATATAAAAAAAAACTGATGAGGGTTTTAATTAGAGATGAGCGAAGTATTCAAAAATTCGATTCGGCTGATTCGGCGAATTCGAGGAATAAATTTGATTCGAGGCGAATATATTCGCTGCGAAATTAACTTATAAAAAGGGTGTTTCTAGGCTTCAGAGAGCCTTTATATTAGTGCAGAACACTGTACCTTTAATTTAAATGCCCTTGGAGTCTGATGGGGAAGAGAAATAATACTGTCAGTCAGTATGACATGCAGATGAGTGCCGTCGATCTTAGAATCACCGCACACTTCACTCATTTGGGCAGTCACGGGGCCAAAACCAGAGTGTGGAGCCACAGTGTGGCGGTGGAGGCAGCAGCAATGGGAGGTCATACAGCACCCTATGACAAAATGGAACCCACCAGCAGTGTGAGGAGACCTGAAAGTGGCACATGGCAGAGTGTGGCGATGGAGACAGCAGCAATGGGAGGCCGTACAGGGACCCATGACACACTCTGGACCTGGCAGCAGCATGAGGAGGCGGTACAGGGGCCCATGACAGATTACGGGCCTGGCAGCAGCATGAGGAGTCGGTACGGGGGCCCATGGCAGATTACGGGCCTGGCAGCAGCAATGGGAGGCCCGTAATCTGCCAGCACCCTATGACAAAATGGAACCCACCAGCAGTGTGAGGAGACCTGAAAGTGGCACATGGCAGAGTGTGGCGATGGAGACAGCAGCAATGGGAGGAGGGCCGTACAGGGACCCATGAGAGACTCTGGACCTGGCAGCAGCATGAGGAGGCGGTACGGGGGCCCATGGCAGATTACGGGCCTGGCAGCAGCAATGGGAGGCCCGTAATCTGCCAGCACCCTATGACAAAATGGAACCCACCAGCAGTGTGAGGAGACCTGAAAGTGGCACATGGCAGAGTGTGGCGATGGAGACAGCAGCAATGGGAGGCCGTACAGGGACCCATGACAGATTACGGGCCTGGCAGCAGCATGAGAGGCGGTACAGGGGCCCATGGCAGATTACGGGCCTGGCAGCAGCAATGGGAGGCCCGTAATCTGCCAGCACCCTATGACAAAATGGAACCCACCAGCAGTGTGAGGAGACCTGAAAAGTGGCACATGGCAGAGTGTGGCGATGGAGACAGCAGCAATGGGAGGCCGTACAGGGACCCATGACAGATTACGGGCCTGGCAGCAGCAATGGGAGGCCCATAATCTGCCAGCACCCTATGACAAAATGGAACCCACCAGCAGTGTGAGGAGACCTGAAAGTGGCACATGGCAGAGTGTGGCGATGGAGACAGCAGCAATGGGAGGCCGTACAGGGACCCATGACAGATTACGGGCCTGGCAGCAGCATGAGGAGGCGGTACAGGGGCCCATGGCAGATTACGGGCCTGGCAGCAGCAATGGGAGGCCCGTAATCTGCCAGCACCCTATGACAAAATGGAACCCACCAGCAGTGTGAGGAGACCTGAAAGTGGCACATGGCAGAGTGTGGCGATGGAGACAGCAGCAATGGGAGGCCGTACAGGGACCCATGACAGATTACGGGCCTGGCAGCAGCAATGGGAGGCCCGTAATCTGCCAGCACCCTATGACAAAATGGAACCCACCAGCAGTGTGTGAGGAGACCTGAAAGTGGCACATGGCAGAGTGTGGCGATGGAGACAGCAGCAATGGGAGGCCGTACAGGGACCCATGACAGATTACGGGCCTGGCAGCAGCAATGGGAGGCCCGTAATCTGCCAGCACCCTATGACAAAATGGAACCACACCAGCAGTGTGTGAGGAGACCTGAAAGTGGCACATGGCAGAGTGTGGCGATGGAGACAGCAGCAATGGGAGGCCGTACAGGGACCCATGACAGATTACGGGCCTGGCAGCAGCATGAGGAGGGGGGTACAGGGGCCCATGGCAGATTACGGGCCTGGCAGCAGCAATGGAGGCCCGTAATATGCCAGCACCCTATGACAAAAATGGAACCCACCAGCAGTGTGAGCAGACCTGAAAGTGGCACATGGCAGAGTGTGGCGATGGAGACAGCAGCAATGGGAGGCCGTACAGGGACCCATGAGACACTCTGGACCTGGCAGCAGCATGAGGAGGCGGTACGGGGGCCCATGGCAGATTACGGGCCTGGCAGCAGCAATGGGAGGCCCGTAATCTGCCAGCACCCTATGATCAAAAAATGGAACCCACCAGCAGTGTGAGGAGACCTGAAAGTGGCACATGGCAGAGTGTGGCGATGGAGACAGCAGCAATGGGAGGCCGTACAGGGACCCATGACACACTTGGGCCTGGCAGCAGCATGAGGAGGCGGTACAGGGGCCCATGGCAGATTACGGGCCTGGCAGCAGCAATGGGAGGCCCGTAATCTGCCAGCACCCTATGACAAAATGGAAACCCACCAGCAGTGTGAGGAGACCTGAAAGTGGCACATGGCAGAGTGTGGCGATGGAGACAGCAGCAATGGGAGGGAGGACCCGTACACTCTGGGCAGCCCATGAGGACAGATTACAGGGGCCCATGGCAGATTACGGGCCTGGCAGCAGCAATGGGAGGCCCGTAATCTGCCAGCACCCTATGACAAAATGGAACCCACCAGCAGTGTGAGGAGACCTGAAAGTGGCACATGGCAGAGTGTGGCGATGGAGACAGCAGCAATGGGAGGCCGTACAGGGACCCATGACAGATTACGGGCCTGGCTGGCAGCAGCATGAGGAGGCGGTACAGGGGCCCATGGCAGATTACGGGCCTGGCAGCAGCAATGGGAGGCCCGTAATCTGCCAGCACCCTATGACAAAATGGAACCCACCAGCAGTGTGAGGAGACCTGAAAGTGGCACATGGCAGAGTGTGGCGATGGAGACAGCAGCAATGGGAGGCCGTACAGGGACCCATGAGACACTCTGGACCTGGCAGCAGCATGAGGAGGCGGTACGGGGGCCCATGGCAGATTACGGGCCTGGGCAGCAGCAATGGGAGGCCCGTAATCTGCCAGCACCCTATGACAAAATGGAACCCACCAGCAGTGTGAGGAGACCTGAAAGTGGCACATGGCAGAGTGTGGCGATGGAGACGACAGCAGCAATGGGAGGCCCGTACAGGGACCCATGACAGATTACGGGCCTGGCAGCAGCATGAGGAGGCGGTACAGGGGCCCATGGCAGATTACGGGCCTGGCAGCACAATGGGAGGCCCGTAATCTGCCAGCACCCTATGACAAAATGGAACCCACCAGCAGTGTGAGGAGACCTGAAAGTGGCACATGGCAGAGTGTGGCGATGGAGACAGCAGCAATGGGAGGCCGTACAGGGACCCATGACACACTCTGGATCTGGCAGCAGCATGAGGAGGCGGTACAGGGGCCCATGGCAGATTACGGGCCTGGCAGCAGCAATGGGAGGCCCGTAATCTGCCAGCACCCTATGACAAAATGGAACCCACCAGCAATGTGAGGAGACCTGAAAGTGGCACATGGCAGAGTGTGGCGATGGAGACAGCAGCAATGGGAGGCCGTACAGGGACCCATGACAGATTACAGGGGCCCCTGGCAGCAGCAATGGGAGGCCCGTAATCTGCCAGCACCCTATGACAAAATGGAACCCACCAGCAGTGTGAGGAGACCTGAAAAGTGGCACATGGCAGAGTGTGGCGATGGAGACAGCAGCAATGGGAGGCCCATACAGGGACCCATGACAGATTACGGGCCTGGCAGCAGCAATGGGAGGCCCGTAATCTGCCAGCACCCTATGACAAAAATGGAACCCACCAGCAGTGTGAGGAGACCTGAAAGTGGCACATGGCAGAGTGTGGCGATGGAGACAGCAGCAATGGGAGGCCGTACAGGGACCCATGACAGATTACGGGCCTGGCAGCAGCATGAGGAGGCGGTACAGGGGCCCATGGCAGATTACGGGCCTGGCAGCAGCAATGGGAGGCCCGTAATCTGCCAGCACCCTATGACAAAATGGAACCCACCAGCAGTGTGAGGAGACCTGAAAGTGGCACATGGTGGCGAGAGTGTGGCGATGGAGACAGCAGCAATGGGAGGCCGTACAGGGACCCATGACAGATTACAGGCCTGGCAGCAGCAGCAATGGGAGGCCCGTAATCTGCCAGCACCCTATGACAAAATGGAACCCACCAGCAGTGTGAAGAGACCTGAAAGTGGCACATGGCAGAGTGTGGCGATGGAGACAGCAGCAATGGGAGGCCGTACAGGGACCCATGACAGATTACGGGCCTGGCAGCAGCAGCATGAGGAGGCGGGGTACAGGGGCCCATGGCAGATTACGGGCCTAGGCAGCAGCAATGGGAGGCCCGTAATCTGCCAGCACCCTATGACAAAAAAAAAATGGAACCCACCAGCAGTGTGAGGAGACCTGAAAGTGGCACATGGCAGAGTGTGGCGATGGAGACAGCAGCAATGGGAGGCCGTACAGGGACCCATGAGACACTCTGGACCTGGCAGCAGCATGAGGAGGCGGTACGGGGGCCCATGGCAGATTACGGGCCTGGCAGCAGCAATGGGCACTTTTGGTGGACAGTCGTGTCCTCCACGGAGTTACAATACCTCCTGCCGCACTAAACACGCGCTCCGATGCCACGCTACTGGCCGGGCATGACAGCCTTTCAAGGGCAAATTCAGCTAGTTGGGGCCAAAGGTCAAGTTTCCTTGCCCAGTAGTCAAGAGGATTGTCTACCTCAGTTGGCAGGGTGCTGTCCAAGTAGGCCGAGCCTGTTGTTTGAGGTCCTGCTCCAGGTCCACCTGATGCTGCTGCTGCTGCGGCTGGTTAGTAGATTCCTCACTGCGCTGGTGAAGAAAGCTACTCATCATCGACTGCAGACTGAGGCAGCCGCTGCTGGTGGAGCTGCCACTGCTCCTACCACCCCACCCCTCCCCTGCTGCCATGGCAGCGGAAACGAGCGTACAAGGCCCACAGTGTCTGAGGATGGACGTTGGCGCAGAAAGGCAGAGACCAACTGACTACATAGGTGGTTTTTTATAGTACGTTATTTTGGCCTCCCTCTCAGCAGGTGTGAAAAAGGCCACCATTTTGAACGGTAGCGAGGGTTCCAACAAGGTGGACAGCCAAAAGTCATCCCTCTGTCTGATGGTTATTATTCGGCTGTCGCTACGCAAGCAACCGAGCATGCTATGGGCCATTTGTGCCAAGGAATGCGAGGGACTCCCTGCCTCCATCTCCACAGCATACTGCCACGGTGCGTCTGGGTCCTCTGTCTCCTCCTCCTCCTCCTCTACCAGATGCTCCTGCTCCTCCACTCCTGTCCGCTGAGTGGGAAAAACCACCCATTTCACTCAATAATTCCTGAGCACCAATGTCCTCCTCTACCTCCTCCTCTCTTCCTGTCCTGCCCCCACAGGGGTCATGTGGCGTTGAGATCTGTGCGCCACGTTTCTACCGCAGAAACCCCTGACCAGCCATTGTTAACAGCATTTGTTCCAGGGACGTGCAACAGAGGGAATGACGTCGTTCATCCCATAGTCCTGCCGACTCACGAATAGCGTGGCCTCCTCAAAGGGCCTGAGCAAGTGGGCAGGTGTCACGCATGAGCGAAATCGGTGATGGCCTTTCACTGTTCGTGAAAGGCGGTGAGGTTCTAACATATGTAGGTGTTGAATTCCACCTTGTTGCACAACGTCTGCAAGATCAGGCGATGCTTGTGGAATTCCGGTTTCTTCTGCCAGGCTGCAGCTCAAGGAGGGTTTGTGCTGTGCGGTTGTTAGGAATGGCTGAAATGCATGCAAAGTTTACGTTGACATCTTTTATGGATGTGTTGCTGTGGGATGGTGGATTTTAGGGGAAACCGCTAGACAACCAGATTTGAAACACGTGATCCAGCCCACATGCATGGCGCATGGCACCAACCTTCCTTGAGCCAGAGCTGACCACCAATGTTCTTTTCCGTTGTCGGTAACAATGGTTTCCCATTTTCAGTTTGGGGCGGAGACAGCCAAACTGTCGTTTTTTCTGTTCATTCCCCGGCCCCCCCCGTTACTCCCCTTCCCCCCCCAAAACCCCCCCATCCCCCCCCCCCAAACCATCGGGGTTCCCATTGGGACTTTACGGGGGGCGGGGAGGCATAAAAGGGTGGACAGGCGGACACTTTTCGGCCCTGCAACTGGGGCAAACC